ATTTGATCGGAATCAGCTCAAACTTTCTGCACAACATAAGAGCATGTATATGTATCAGAAAATGTAATAAAAATTGAGAATTCTCTCATTTTCATTTTTGGTGAAATTCAGTCAAAATCCCTGTCCGGACTTTTGTCCCATTTTGGAGCAACTTTAAAAATTTGTAAAAAAATCCAAAAAACTTGATTGGAATCAGCTCAAACTTTCTACACAACATAAGTACATGTATATGCATCAGAAAATGTAATAAAATTGAGAAATTTTCTACTTGTCAATTTTGGTGAAATTTGACAAAATCCCTGTACTATAGTACAGGAACTTAGGGACTTTTGTCCCATTTTGGAGCAACTTTTAAAAATCATAATAAATGCAAACTTGATCGGAATCAGTTCCAACTTTCTACACAGCATAAGTACATGTATATGCATCAGGAAATGTAATAAATTTGAGGAATTTTTTACTTGTCAATTTTGATGAAATTCAGCCAAAATCCCTGTACTATAGTACAGGGACTTTTGTCTGATTTTGGAGCAACTTTTAAAAATCATAAAAAATCCAAACTTGATCCGAATCCACTCAAACTTTCTACACAACATAAGTACATGTATATGCATCAGGAAATGTAATAAAAATTGAGAATTCTCTCCTTTTTAAATTTTAGCAAAATTTTGCCAAAGTCTCTTTACTATAGTATAGGGACTTTGGTTCGATTTTAAAGTAATACTTTTGGTCGATGATCCATTATTTTTTTACTAATAATTATAACATTTTGTTATTAATTTTCTTAATAAACAATTCTTCAAAGTATTTGAATATTATTATCAATTATTATTATTTTATTTTATAGAACATCATCAGTGTCCATTAGTCCTCATATCTTGTTGAGATTAAAGTCCATTTAATAATCATTTAAAGTGTTTTAAAGTAAGTTAGTCTGTATACCTGTACATGTATACATTCTTGTACATGTACATGAATTAAGAAGATGAAATTTTTTCACTTAATTATAATAATTATTTCCTCGTAGTTTCCTTCAGTGCTAACATTCCTGTGGCTAACAGGTAAATATTATTAAATATTAGTAATTCATTTAAATATTTATTTATCCTAGCTATAATCATATTATTTGTATAGTAGTATCAGACTTTACTATGATTAGACTGTCTCGTATTTCCTTTAAAAAGTGTTTTTGAAGTTGCTAATACTACTGACCTGACCTCAGGTGTATATTGTATAAAGTCATCATGAGGTGTGTGTGTTGGTCATGTACTAGTATCATGTACAGGAGATGAAGCTGTTGCTGTATTGTTTACTGTAAATAATGATTCTTATTTTGCCAAAAACTGATCAATTACTAGTAATAATTAATTCTGTTTATTCTTTTTTTAATGTCTACAACTTGAGTGGAGCATCCATTCCACTGGCAGCAGCTGTTGCTGTTTTTAAAGTATTTTTCCCAAACCGGTAATCAATCTTCACATCAACATAACGACCCTTACCTACATCAACCTATTAATAATAATTTATTATTATTATTATTCAAACCATGATTAGGTAGATGTTTCCTTGTATTTGTGAGCAGTTGAAAGTACTGTACTTGTCTTTAGTGGCCTGCTCAACTTTTGACTTGACCTGGTACTAATGATTGTTATATCAGTACTAACTGATTATTATTAATGTTATTGTTAATGAAGCAAACTCTGAATAGAAAGCATCACATTATTATACTAAATATAAACAGAGACACTGTCAATTGATATACTAACAGCAAGCCTTAGTGACAATACTTTGTTCAGTGCTGGTAGCTGTGGTGGGGTCACTGATATCTTTTGCTACACTCTCTGGTACAGTAGCTACACTCTCAACACTAGCCATTACCTCTTTTCACTTGAGGGTCAGAGAATGTCACAGCTTATTGAATAACTTGTTACTAGTGAATGGAACAGCTTGTAGTCCAGTGGTGATAGTACAGCTTTAATGGTGGGAGATGTAGCTATCACAACACAGAGCAGGAGTGAGTAACTATCTATTTCATTTATGGCAGCAGTTTATTATTCTCATAATAGAATTAATGATAGTTTTAACTACAATTGTCCATAATAATAATAATAGTTAAAAAAGCACAAAAATAAAATGAAGGAGCTATTAGTACTTGGTATGGATCTAAATAATAATAAAGTTAAATTGTCATTGGAATATCTTTGGTGACGGCCTTGGCTTTAACTCTCATAGCATTACCAGCAACATACTTCCCAGAGACATCAATCATCTCATTCACACCAACCTCAACCTATACAAATGAAACAAACACATCAATTAGATCTATATGAATATCTATGACGATACAGTGTGGCCTGTCTTAATGGACACTCTCCTATAGCATACACTTCCATTTAAAAGACAGCACCTATAAATAACCTCCACATAAAGGTTAATACAGGACAGGCTCTGAGTTACAGAGGCTCTACAGTATGGGTCCATCATGATTGCCGCTTGCAGTAGTCATATGCAGTATATATACACTATCAGTACTCTCTCTCTCTCTGTGGATACAACTCATAGTACAGTCTTACTCTAATGCAGTAGTCCGTCTCTCCGTTCTTGATGTAGTACAGTGGAGTGTAG